TCTCACACGTGAATTTCAAACGATTGTAATAATTATTAAATGTAGATAATACCGCATCTATTTTTTTAATAGATATTATGGCAAAGATGTCATCCACATATCTATAGTACACGGGGACCGAAAAATCCGATGAATTCAAAGACTCAAGGTCGTCCATAATTATATCCGCTAAAATTGGGGACAACAGTGAACCCATTGGACTACCGTAAATTTGTTTATAACACTATCCCTCAAAACAAAAACTAGTTGAATCAAGGATAGTTTCAATGACGTGTAAAAATTGTGTTAAAAATTTAGTATTTCTCGATATGTCATCCCATCGCTTTTCAATGCCCTTCATATCCATATTTGTAACTCCTTGCCCAGTCAGAAATATAGTTGTTGTGATGTCAAATTAACGTCAAAAACTAATGTTGAAATTTTGATCGAATCGACATCAAAATGGTACGAATTTTCGACTATCATTTCGACATAATTTCAACGTTGAATCAACTAATTTAAAAATTTTTCATATAATTAGACAAAATTGGTTATATTTAATTATACAAAATTATATATCAAATTTGTTCATATAAATATATATATGATTACATATTATTATACAAAATAAAGTAATGCTCCCAAGCGGTCACCCATCTAAATATTGATCATGCATTGCTTAACTTCAATGATCGGACGAGAACTTTACTTCTTAATCGAGTTTTATTTTATTATTAATTTTTAATAACTTTCTATTGTTTTTCTTGTCAATAGTTGAATAAATGAAAAATTTTTCTTTATTACTGTATCTCATAATCAATTTTTAAAAATTGGAAGAAGAAAAAAATAATCTCTAGTGCAACTAGTTCAACTATAAAATACAGACCATGCAATTATATTATTATTATATGTACAATAAAAACAACTTGGCTAACTTTATATAATTATTATAATTAATTTAGATAATCTCACGCTATATAAAACATTCAAAAATCATAAGTCGATATTGCACAAAAATCAAAAACCTTATTCAATTATTGGACTCAAACGGGCGCTCATCGCATTAGCCGCTGAAGGGTATCGAATCAACATTGAATTAACGTTAAACTTCTGACTAAATATCGACTCAACTAGTTGTCAACTATATCGACATCGAATCAACTTTGAATCAAGGTTACATTTCTGACTGGGTAAAGTATTGGTAAAAAGCGAAATGACATCTAAAGAGATCATTATTTCAAAATCATTAATTACTCTGTCTTAAATGTTTGTATGACCAACCACTTGATGTGTAAGTCTGGTTTCTTAATAAAAATATTTTTAGTTTCTTGAAAAGAGCCACATAGTTGAAACGTCTTGAAGCTGAATAAATTATTTACTTGCTAGTTTGGTCGATTATTTTCTACATCTCCTATTTAAATACTAGTGACTGTTATTAATAATTGGGAATTTATGTAATAATTACTATTACAATTTTTTATTACAAGAAATATAATTAAATAATAAATAGATAAAGGTTTCGTAAGATTAATAGTATATTAGCTAACAAGTGCGAGAGATCGTAAATCGGCCGAGAGTGCGGAAGTTTGGCGCACGAGGCGAAGCCGAGTGTGACAATCCGCACGATCGGTCGATTTATGACCCGCACATGTTGGCTACAATATTTTGTGTGATCAATGCGTGGAAAGGGAGCTCTTTCTAAAATTCTATTATGTGCGTAAAGGACAACTTTTCGCGCGCCGGTTGCACAAAAAGTATTAAAAAAAGCAAAGTAATATTGATTAATAGATGTATATTTTGAAAAATTAAACGGTTACATTAATAAAATCATTATATTAATAAAATCGTCAACATTTCTGTCCCTTTTTCGAATCTCTTCAGCATATCCAAAAATCCTTTCTTAGTGGGTGCCTACGTTATAAAAACAATATATGTACCTTCCACATTTAAGCTCCTTAAGTTTTTATTATTTCTTATTTTACCGTAGCAAAGTACGGACATTTTGCTACGGTAAAATCTATTTTAGTTATATTTTATGCGAATAATTATATTTACATTTTATTTAAAAAATCAGAATTCCTACTTTTCTTACAATACTTTTCTTAAGCAAAACCTCGAGAGTAAATATTTAGCATTCCGATTAAATTTCACTCTGATATACACATTGAAATAGTCCAATTAGCAAACAGCTTATATTGTCACAATTAATTTTTTTACTTAAAAAAATAGAATACAGTGTGTATTGTATGCTGCTCTATTTTCTGTATGATGGTAACTCAATATTCTTAAATATATTTAAAACTTTATTTAGTTACAAGAATTACTATTATTCATATTTTATTAGATTTTATAAATAAAATAGAAACAGAACAAATATTTATATCGAATATAGACAAAACAAAGTTTTAGATGACCTTTTTTTATATATTATTAAATATTAATAAATAAAAAATACAACAAAATATTATTATGTAAATCATATATTCTAATACAATTATATCATATATAAATCATATATTCTAATACAATTATATACAACACAATTAATACATATCAAAATTCAATTTTAATAAGATTACATTATTATATTATTCACTTTATCAATAATTATGGATTATCTTTTTTATTTACTCATTTTTATATTCTTCATTTTTTTAACAATTTTCGCAAAACACAAATTTAGCATAATAGTCCTAAATCATTCAGTTATAGATTAATTTTTCTATTATAAAATATATAATTAAAGCATTATGTTTGATTTATTTAAATTTTTTTCTTTAATCTTTAATTTTTTTTTAATATTTATAATTTTTTAATGTTCAACATTTCTAATTATATAAGTTTATAAATTCACTATTGTTCAGAAAAGACAAGAAAATGATAATTGTAATAATTACTAATACAATTATTGTTTTAAAAAGAGTAATCTTCATACCATCTACTGTTTATTTTATGTATTGCGTGCGCACCTAGGGATTTCTCTCCTTTTCTTACTTCTATATTTTTCATTCGCTTTGTAACACATTATTGTGATATAATAAAAGTTGATTTTATTAAGAGAAGAAGATTATTCCACACTCTCCTGATTATTAAACAATTATTAATAATAAAATTATTAAATATAATAATTAGATTAATAAACATAATAATAATAACTATTATACATAATAAAGAATATAATAATAAAAATATAATAATAACAAGCTAATAAATATAATACTAATAATTTATTTAATTAAATACAACAACCAGTAATTAAATATAATTAATTATTGTATTCTATTGACAGATTTCTAGCTTTCTCTTTAATTCTGTTTTGGCAATTTTTGAACCAGTATATGGAAAAGCATCCAGAAATATTATTTTAGCTAGAAGCTTATATTGATTTTTCATATTATTCAACACAAACTCTATTAATTCTTGCTCTGTTACCTACACAAAAAAATAAATATTTATTTTATAAAAATAATTGTATATTTTTTCAACATATATACAAGAAATAAACACGCACACACCCATTCACACAAGGCGTTGCATTAACTTTCGGATTGAAATTTTCCGAAAACCAAGACTTCCACCGAAAAATAGTTTATTCAAAAATTGTAAAATTTTAAGGAGGAGGAGGGATCGTCTAGTAAACATAGTTTTATTCTAAATAGAGATATTTTTTGAGATCTTGAGATCATTATTATTTTTTTTAAACAGAATACTATAATTTTTTTACACAAATTTTTTAAATAAATTTTTCATAGTAATTTGGTGTGCAAAATTGTTGCAGTAGAAACAGTCGAAAATAAATAGTTTAAGAAATATTTTACACTTTATTTTGATATTATCCATATTTTGACAAAAGGTATGAACTATCGCGTATATTTTTTAATAAATTTGCCGTAATAATTTTGTGCATAGAATAATAAAATAAATCAATTGATATAAGAAAAACATGGAATTATTTAAAAACAGTTTCTAGTTGTTTTTTATTGCAAATTGTAATTTTTTTAATCACAAGAGTTTATTTTGCTTTTATCAATTATATATCATTTATCTCATTATTATGCAAAATGTTATTAAAATGATTAAAAAATGATTATATTACAATAAAATGTAATATATATATAATAATAAATGGAATTTCTATATCTGCAAGATAATTTTATATATGCATTTTGCAAGAAGAATGGTAATTTCTTATGTAAATATAAATATAAAATGTTCAATAAAATTTTTTCATTTATTTGTTTCTTAAAAATATTGATTTTGTAATTCCATTGAGTACGAGTTCATTTCATTAGCAAAAAAATCTGTTTAATGGATCTCGTTACGTACTATTATTTCTATTTGTTCTTATAAAGAATGTTGCGTATTGTTTATTATTATTCTCAATATTTATTTATAAAAGTACACAATAAAGAAATGCTAGGATAATTAAAATCGTCTTTAATTTTAATATAATATAATCAAAGAAATAAAAAGATTGAGAGCACATTTTTACTATCAACTCACGTTTTTTTAATTCATATTATGTGTGAAAAAAGTCATTTTTTAAGCAATTTATGATTTAATGAAATAAATGCGTTATAATATATTAAAACTTGCATGTAAATTAAGAAAACCCATTTTTTCAAAATTAATGTAAAAAATTATCTAATTTACATTTGCATAATGAAAACTTTACTTACGGCATTTGTATTCTGTATATGTCTTAATCCTTAAATTTATCTAATTTCACTAAGACATATGTATTTATAATATATACATCTATCTCTCTTGGCTAATAGAGCCAAACGCGATGTTATTGCGAAAATTAAGAAACTTAGGAATACGTATTTTACGATATATTTTTCTCGCCTATTTCTTTACAGGGAGGTTAAAAGAGGAACGAAGAAGATACGAATTCCTAAGTTTCTTAATTTTCGCAATAACATCGCATTTAACTCTATTGGCCTATTTCGAGAGCCGACTGAATATTCTTAATATATGTATTTATGTTATATAAAATGATAAAGAAATGTACACACGTGTCTATTTGTAAAATATTTAAAAAGTTTAATGAGTAAAAAATAAAACTCTTAGAAATATTAGGTGGTACAAAAGTTCGTGTGGATTTTTGAAACGCAATGTTTAAATACAAAGTGATAAATTTATTTCACAACATATGAGATATGCGGAGTATCTCCGCGATGACTCGAGTCGTGTAAGATGTGTTAGTTTAAATTAATATCTTGATTACCAAATTGGTCATTATCAATAGCCGACGGCCATGTGCCTAGAGTGCAAGTTTATTAAAAATTTTGTTATAAAAACTTTTAAAGAAATTAATCAAACAATTTTCAAAACTACTTAAATTGCTAAATTACTATAATATTTTATAGAATCTATCGCTCTGTGATTTTATTATCATTAAAATAAGATTATACCTTTTCATCGGGTATTTTTGTAACAAAACCAACAGGATGTTCACCATCTACTGGATGAGGTACTCCTACTACTGCAGCTTGTATTACTGCTGGATGTGTTACTAAAATATCTTCAATTTCTCCAGGTGAAATTTGATAGCTTCTGTACTTTATAAATTCGTTCATTCTATCGACGATAAAAAGTTCTCCGTCTTCGTCAAAATAACCAATGTCACCAGAATGCAGCCATCCTAAAGTCACAGATAAATTCAAACTTACTATTATGGTACAATTTTGTTCTGAAAAATTTATCTCGTTGTAAAAAGTGAATTCCCCAACTACAAATATTTTACATCTAGTATTAACAAGAAAACTGTCGGAAGTGTTATTTTTGTAGCAAATTAAAACAGCTATCTATCTATATATATATATATATATATATATATATATATATATATATACAACAGATTTTTCAGTTAAAGTATTTCCATTTAAAAAAATAAATTTAAAGAAAGAAAAATTAATTAGCATAAAATTTTTCTTCTTATTGTATGGTATTTTAACTGATTAGTTTGTGTTGCGATATAGTTATTTAACAATATCATTTAGAGTTTCTTTTGTTCTTCTTTGTCACATTTTTAATTTGTCTTTTACGTTTATTTTGTTAATTTAAGTTGCGCGGATAACCGATACCCTGGATTCAGTATGATATAGAATCAATAGTATCGCGACTCTGTCCACAGATGGCACTCATATCATTTCCACCCGAGAAAGGTCATTCTCGCGCTAATCTCATTCTCACGCTGCGTGTGTGCCGATTAGCATTGTATATATCACACTCGTTGTATCTCAAATAATAAAGCATATGTTTAATCAATTATCTCATCAACGATTACCGTTTGCGTTACACCTGTTCCAATATCCACGATCCTCAACAGGTTATAAGTCCAGAGCACGCGACTAAACAAGAACGTGAATAATGAGAGTGGTGTCGTTCCGGGAGAGCTGAGGCGGTGCATCGCCATATTGAACCGAGACAAAGGCAATTCTCTCGTTGCTCTCTGATTCTGTGTTTTTGTGCTGAAGCAAGTACATGCTCAAGATGTTTGAAAGTATTGATCTGAAGAACAACACTAAATTTGACGGCTCAAATTTCCAGCTATGGAAATTTCAGCTTCGAGTTGTTTTTGTCGCAACCGGCCTCCTCGAGATCGCAGAAGGATTCATTCCGATCCGGCAGCTGCAGGACACGCGACGTGGTGCATGAGGAACGCGAAAGCAATGTGCATATCATCCTCAATGGAGTATTCGCATTTCGAATACCTGATAACGTGCGAAAACGTTGCAGGAATGTGGTCGAAGCTAAGCATCATTCACGAGCAAAAAAGTGCTTCGAATAAACTGACACTCATGACCACATTTCATGAGTACAAAATGTCGACCTCTGATTCCGTTGTGCAACATGTTGCCAAAATAGAAAACATAGCATGCCAGTGCAAGGACCTCGGAGAGAAATTATCAGAGGTTATGGTCATCGCCAAGATCTTGGGAACTCTTCCATCAAAATTCAACACTCTAGTGACTGCCTGCAACAGCGTGAGCAGCAGCAGAGAAAGGATGTTCTCGTCAAACGACTGATAAGAGAGAAGAATCGTCTCACCGCCATGGACGAAGCAACGAACGCGCTGGCAGCGATCAAGGTACGAGATAAAAGCGCGCACTCCAAGGACAACGCGGAACGTAAGAATCGTAATAATGATAAAGGCTTGTCGGCTAAAGGTTATAACGGACCGCTTTTCCGGTGCGGCCGGATCGCTCAATCGGGATCACAAGGTTCGGAAAAGGTTTGATCCAAGAAACGTGCGACGCGGGTATAAGTTTAACAAGTGTTTATTGGTGTTCTATATACAAGTGTATGTTTGTGTGCGCTGGTGTGTATGTATGTGTGTGTGTGTGTGTGTGTGTGTATTGATGTATGTGCGAACGCGTGGATAAAGTTATAAAGGTGTGACGTGAGTATAACGATGAATGCGTATAAACGTGAGTAAATGTGCGGGTAAACGCGGACGCCAGTATAAATGTATGTTGCGTGTATAATAGTGTCAGTGTCCTAATATGCGTGCGGATGCGTGTATGCGGTGTATAAATGTGTGACGTGAGGGTGGCGGAGAGCGTATGTGTATAAGTGTAAGCGGATATATGTATGGAACGCGGACGCCAGTATAAATGTATGTCGCGTATATGATAACGTATGGACGTGGATGAATATGCGTGCGGATGCGTGTATGAAGATATATGTATATGCGAGTGCAAATGCGTGGGGTGCGGGTCGGCGTGTGTCCTGTTGGCGGTGCGGGTGTCAGTATCGGAATAATAAACCGGTGCTGGAACAAATGCGTCGATTATTAGTTACGCGGCATTAGATGTAACGCGGAACATGTCTTTTATTTTTGCATCGGCGATCGGAATTCGGAATTTAAAGGGCCGTTCCTTTAACTTTTCACGACTGTGTTTATTTTCCTTCACTGGGCGCGACGCGGTCCGGGGTGCGGTACGGTCCCGTGTTGTTATTATCGCACACGCGGCGTTCTCTCTCTTGCGCGCGCGGATGAGGGAGAGAGTTGCCGCTCTCTTCTTCCTTTGGCGAAGCCGGGGTTTGATTCCGGGTATTCGCGTCGCGGGGATTCCGTTGATTATTTTTGAGGATACAATCGGTCGCAGGAACTTTCGACAGAAGCGGAAAACTCCCAATCTCTAGTATATCTGGCCGATTGTACAGGCGGACAGGGCGATGAGCGGGTTCAGTGAGGAGACGCTCGGAGCGGCTTCGGAAGTAGGAATGCACCCACATGAGACAGGGTACCCCCGATCTCTTTGTTCTCAGCCTTTTTTTGCGTTTTCCGGAGAAATATTTGTCCTAAGACGGTACGGAATGTCTCGTTTCGGTTCTCCGCGAGCTTTTTATTCGGCCCGATCGGGGTTTTTTGTACTACTTCGTGACTCTTCGGTAATTTCTAATTAACACGGCGCGTGGGGGAAAGTAGCAAACCGAATGTACTCTCCGCGCGGTTTATCTTTGTCTCGATATTTCATATACCGAGATAGGTATATTCGGGCTTTGCAATGCAGGCTGTATCGTTATAAGGTAAAAGAAAAGATTTTACTTGTCATTTTTGCGATAAGAAAGATCAAATTGCCAAAAATTGTTTCAAGAAACGCGATAAATCAGAAAACAAAGATAATGAGAAAACAAAACGTAAAACAAACAGCAATGATTATGTAAATTTAGAAGCATTCTTAGTTTTGGATTCTGATTATTATACGCGAATTCTGGACTCCGATGTTAAAGATGTATGAATTTTAGATAGCGACGCGTTTCAACACATGAGTTTTCGTCGGGAATGGTTTACCAATTTGAACCTATCTTATAGAGAGACCGTTAGCCTAGGTGATGACTCAATATGCAAAGTGATGGAACGGGGAACTGTCTTAATCAAAAGATTAGTTAATAATAAAAGGCTCGACGGAAGACTAGAAAATGTTCTTTACATCCCATCACTGCGCAGGAATCTTTTCTCAACCGGAGCGTGCACTGAAAAAACATGTACTTTAAAATTAGAGGCTGTTCCGGAACCGTTGAAAATACTTGAGAGTCTCCGCGAAAAGTTAAATGTCGCGCGATCGGACATATTGAGAACTATCAATCGTCACATTAGCGAATCACAAATTTCCACGCAAACGAGGCATCGCGCGTAGCTGATTTTTCTCACGCCTCATTGTAATTCGCATTCGCGGTCCTTTTTCGCCAACTCGAGTGCGCGGTGTATCGATTATGATCTGTCGCGCACCCCCGTTTTCTGCCTATCTGAGTCGCTAATATCTTGCTCCTTCTTTCGTTCCTTCTTCTTGTTCCGGCTCTTTGTGGATCAACACGTTATCGAGTAACCGAAAAATTGTAATCCGCGTTGTTAAAAATTAATCCTCGGCAAGATTTATAGAGTATCGTGCACGCGATATTTTTAGTCAATTCCGTTCATTTTGTGAAATACACGCATATTTCGGCCGCAATTACGACCGCACGTGTCACCACGTGCGACATTACAGTGTTCCGGAGACTCTTCAAGACCTCGATCTCGCGAACGGTGCGTCGCGCATCCGCGTTCGGCTCTTGATCGCTGCGATCTTTCGTTAATATTGTCACGAGAAGATTTCCGTCGCGTTCGGAACTACCGCATAGTTCTGTCCAAGATTTCCGTCGCGTCCGCGCGCAGCAAGTACGATCAAGCGCAAGATGTCCGTACGTTCTCGTTTAAGTTATTTTCCACCGTTTGTCAAGTGTGCCTAATTGTTACTTGAGAACTTTAGTTATTTGTGAAAAGCCGAATAAACTTTATATAAACTAAATCTCCGCTGTTAACAGTCAATCTCCTCTTCCCTCTATTCCCGATCAAAATTATTTTATCAGTGCAATCCGCAACAGAGGCAAACGACGTAAGAATATATCGAAACGGAAAGCTATTAGCTCACGGTGTCAAACAAAATAACAATCTATTTAGAATAATGTTCAAGATAACGTTATAAGGCGAGGCAAATTCAGCTTCCTCAAGGGATATTGAGACGTGGCATAATTACTTGGGCCATATAAATTGTTGAACATTTCTCAGAATGATAAACCAACAGCTTATAAAAAGAGTTACGCCATCACGCCTCGACAAATTTTTTGTGAGAGCTGTTAGCTCGGAAAACAACACTAATTACTATGCAAATCAAAGGAGCACAAGAGAAAGATCAAAATAGGCAAATTTATATATACCGACCTTTGCGGTCTTATGTCCAAAGATTCCATCGGTGAATCAAAATATTTTTTTCTTTTGAAGGGTGACTGTTCTAGTTTTTGTCATGTTTATTTCTTACGTCACAAAGATGATACATTCGAAAAATTAGAAGAATTCGAACAATTAGTTTTTAACAAGTTTGGACAAAGGATTAGAACAGTAAGATCCAATAACGGGACTGAATATAAAAACGAGAGAATATCCAGCTATTTGGCATCACAAGATATTATAGATACCTCGAGACGTCTCTACCGTACATATACAAACAAAATGGACGTGTTGAGAGAGAAATGCGTACGGTCATTGAGACTGCCTGGATCATGCTCACTGCAAAGAACTTACCAAAGAAGCTCTGGGCCGAAGCGGTATACTGCAGTATATCTCAAACAAAAAATATCACACCTTTCGAACTATAG